TTACTTTAGAATCTAGGGTAAAAGTAATAAAGTATTAAACGTTTACTTTAGAATCTAGGGTAAAAGTAATAAAGTATTGAACGTTTACTTAAGAATCTAGGGTTAAAGTAATAAAGTATTAAACGTTTACTTTAGGATCTAGGGTTAAAGTAATAAAGTATTAAACGTTTACTTTAGGATCTAGGGTTAAAGTAATAAAGTATTAAACGTTTACTTTAGGATCTAGGGTTAAAGTAGCACTGTATACAATGATAACTCTACGTTGAAATGCAGGGTAAAATTAACAAAGTATGCAACGTTTCTTTTTTTAAGTTCACGAGTAAAAGTAACAAAGTGTACAGTGTGTACATTTAAAGGATAACAAATGTTCATTTTGGCCAAAAAATGAAATTTCCTGGGATTAACGACAATTTTCCCATACTTACTAATTGTTAATGAATCCATTTCTACATTCAAAGTTAGTCCTTGGTTTTTTTTTTTTTTTTTTTTTTTTTTGTAATATCTGTTAATGGGATGAATCCTTACCTCGCTTAGGCTGGAAGGGTCCCTGTGTGACGATATAGGTAGAGGAGGAGGCACCACTGACATCTCTGCGCCCTCTGGCGGGGGTCTGACAGCTCGTGGAACACGTCGGGTCACTCTGCATACATACCTGCATCTCACAGTGGAGGTACACCTACAGATGGGGTGACAGGAGAGAACGCCGTGATCCGCAGGGTGAGCTTCTGTATACATTTAATGACGCCATGGGTGAAATTAAATTTTGGACTCGATATTCGAAATTGTTATATTCAAACAACGTTTCCTTTTACATAGTTTTGACCTTAAATATTTTACAATACATTCCAATATTTTACAACACACTCGATATATACAAAACTGTAAAAACTTTGTGTAACCTGTTTTGCGTTACTTTTACACTAGCATTCATTGGAGACAATCTTTACATGATGATTATTACATTGGCATCATGCATCCATATATTTTAACCAAGAAGTTGTAACTTATTGGTTTAACACACCACTCGTGTCTTTATACAACAGTATCGTGAGAGGTAAAGAAAGATGTCAAAGTGCCGCCGAGGACAGAGACTGCTCTTTATCCCTGGGACTTACTTGTTCTATATCACTGCTCTTTATCTCTGGGACTTACCTGTTCTATATCACTGCTCTTTATCTCTGGGACTTACCTGTTCTATATCACTGCTCTTTATCTCTGGGACTTACCTGTTCTATATCACTGCTCTTTATCTCTGGGACTTACCTGTTCTATATCACTGCTCTTTATCTCTGGGACTTAC